CCCCCACCCCCTTCAGTATAGTTCAGCAAAACAATGCTAAGTGTAAGAAAAACATCATGCCATGGTTATGAGATTAGCACTTGATGTAGGAGTGGTTGGCCTTAGTGTCCGGCAACCTCTACAGTAATGTGGTGCAATGTGCGCATGATAACAAACTTTCAGCATTGAAGAGAGAGAATGAGACTGACAGAGAAGCAACAATCATGCCCGATACAACTTGAAAAGCAGAAACAAAAAGTCTTAGCAGCATTCCTTGCAAATCTAACAGAAAAAAACCAAAACAAACAAAACAACTGGTACCTGAAAAGAAAAAGAACAGCAAAGTTGGAGGTTTGCCACCAGCTCAGCTACGGCTAAGAATATTGCATTCCACAGACAAACGTCATCCAGCACAAGCACAACACGCAGCAACGGAACACAGAAACAGATTACACACAACGACATAGGCAACACATAATAACTTATCATCCCACTTATATCGCCTTCGGGCGGCACATATACCATAGTTCGTCTAAAATAAACCCAGCACAAACAACAACACAGTCAACACATACCACAGAGCATCTCACATATTGCCTTTAGGTGGTAAAGACGGCTGGCCATAATTTACATGAATAAAAAGTTTTGTCCTGACTCCATGTCGAAAACAGTTTAACAAATGAACATGTAAGGGGTTTTAATCACTCCGTCCTCCTTTTCCTTTCTAAAACAACCATTACAGAAATCCCCTAAGTCTCTTGCATAAAATCCCGCGAAAGGTTTGCAAAACAAAGTGAATCCCCAAAACATTTCCCATTAAAGGAAATCAGTATTTTTCAGGACCATTCTAACCACCCTTTTTTTAACCTTTTGGACTTCTCTCTCTCTCTCTCTCTCTTTGAAGTAAATGTCAATAATACCCGAGGACAGCAAATTGTCATCATTGATGAACTTGCCAACAGCATTTCCCAGTCAAAAACTAACCTCATCGTATCTCTCCTGAACCCAAACTTAAGTTCTGAAGCACACCAAATATTTTTTTTGGGAATATATTATTGCTACTCATTTCTCTTTGAATATCAAAATAAGTAACAACACCACAGGAAAATACCCATTCACAGAGAAAAACACAAAGACAGGATGACAATACACATGTAGCTGATCCGTACTTGCCAGTTGAAGCTTCAGTTTAAACAAAGGGGGAAAGGAGAGAGAGGAGGGAGAGAGGAGAGAGAGAAAGAAAGAGAGAGAGAGAGAGAGAGGGAGAGAGAGAGGGAGAGAGAGAGAGAAAGAGAAGAGAGAGAGAGAAAGAGAGAAACAGAGTGAGAAGCAGAGAGAGCGAGATACACAAAAGCCAAGACACACAGGTCAGGACCGTTATACAACTTACCAAACTTGGGTCCTGCCGGAGTCACAATGCGCTTCTCCTCCATATTGGGCGAGTTATTCACACTTGGTGATGCATCACGTCGCCGAACTTGGAAAACAAACAGCACAAATACGCAGCTCAGAAATGTCGTTCCATTTCAATAAATATTTTTAGAAATTTTCCAGGAGTATGCTGAGAATGACATTAACCACCAAATACACAACCAGTGTTTCTTAGTGTTTCTTCACTCCATTTAAGGAGAAGGAAATCTACAAAACTGGACAAAAATATCATAAACCACTAGGCAAAAGTCACAGAGTAAAAATGGAAGACGAGAGATCAACTAGAAATGTGCTTCAGTATGCAACACAAAATGAGGAATATTATGTATGTTGCTGTGAACTTTTAAAGTTACAAACAAGTAACAACAGATTCAACCACAGAAAAACAATATGCTGCATTTCTAGTAACATTTGTTAGCGATGCAATATCTATATTATCACTGAGAAGGAAATCTGGGCCTCACCTGGAGCCTCACAGGCACTGGAAAGTTCTGTGAGCTTTTCCTCATCACTGATGATGGGCATGTTGCTTAGGTAGGACCGCACTCGTCGTACCATCTGGGCCTGCGAAAAGAATACAAATAAAGCACAAGTTAGTTCTGGTTTGGGTCTTGACCCCTTTTCAAGATAACACGGATTATTATTTAAAAGGCCTGATCAAAACAACAAATTTGCAAATGAGAGTTACCAACAAAAAGGAAGGAAGGATTAGGCCAAAAGACGCTTATTGGAAAGAAGGAGCAAACAACACCAGAGCACCTACAACTTCAGTTTTTGTGTGCAAGGACAAGCAACTTACCATAACAAAATAGGTGAAGGTAAGACTGACAAAGAAAAATAGCTGAGGGACAGAAAAATCATGTTGTAGTTGTTGTTGTTGTTTTCAAATCCCTTTAGCTGCGAGCATTTCGCTCTTGGCAGCAATGCCCCCCTCAAGTAACCACATGTCCTTGCCATCTGGTCAACGCCAGAGTAGAGCAGGCTTTGTCTGTAGGTGTGTGTAGGAGCTTGCGTCGAAGAACTGCCAGGTTACAGAAAAATCATAACATTGCTCCACAGACTTTGACTTGATGCCAAATAGACAACCTACCTCTTCGTACATCTTCTTGGCATTGGGCAAAGCCGATCCGCGTCTGTTCTTGGTGCGCTTCAGTGTGGTCACTCCCGAAACCAGTGCACTCTGGAAGCTGTTGTTGGTGCTCAGGAACATGTTGTTCGAGTCCTGGCAGGAGAGACAGAAAACAAACATAATTTTTACTTAACTGTGCTGACGGCAAGAGACAAAAACAGATTTAGTACACTTTATTGATGGCCCTATTTGACTTAAAAACCTGAAAAGGGGACTCAAAATTTCAAGGTGTGAGGGGTAACAAAACATATTCTGGCTTTTGTTATATGTGGCAAAAATTATCATTCAAATTATCAGCTTTACTGTGTGTAAATGGGAGTGTGTGTCGCATGTAAGCATGGGGACAGAAAAAAAAAAGACAGGAGATAAGGCAGTGAAAAGTAGGAGGAAAGAGAAAGACCTGTGCAGGAGTCAATGAGAACTGTTTACCATTACAAAATAGATATCAGAAGGGCCTACCTACAATTCATTCTCAGTATCACAAAAAAAAAAAAATCTTTCCATGTCAATCATAACTAAATCGTAAGGGAATCCTTCAAGAGCACTCACATATGTTGTTGAGCAGATGCTGCATATATTTCGGACTTCCTTTGCAATCATGCGCAGTTTTTCAAAGTTGACCAAACCATCAACATGAGAGTCATTGCCCAAGTGGATGAAGGTAAGGTCTTTCTTGAAGATTGGGAAAAATGGAATCTGAAACAGAAAACAACAAAAACACTTTGTAACTAATGAACACAATCTGGTTTTAAAAAAAGAGTGGTCTTCACAAATATAAAAAAAAGAAGTATAACACAAACTCATTAAAGGCTCAATGCTATCAACAGCTGTTCACGCAATAAACACATACATTTTTGCCTTTTTGAAGCTCAAAAAGCATAACCTTTACAGATAGAGGAAATTGAAATTAAGGCAAAGGACATAATCCAGGTATTTTTCTGTAAAAGCATTGAAAAAGCTATACATTAAAGTGAAAATGGTTTATTAGACCAAAAAAATCCAACCCCACAAATACTTTCAAGTATGAGTAAGCTTTGCCAATCAATTCCTCTTGTGCATAGTCAGAATTGGGAGAACCACTGTTACTTTTCAAATTTACCAACCTCATTTTCTTCTTCTGAAACCATCTTCATGTGACTCATCTTTTGCCACTATTTCAAGTATACGGAACATTTTACTCTCGACAGCATCATGACATTATAATGTTCCCAACAAACCATAGTAAATTATAAATGCATACAAAAATAAGCGAATGTTCATTTAGTAAGTTATTAACTTTGTGTCCCATGTGATGTGCAACGCAGACATCATAGAAATTTGTGGGATGTATCTGTCAGACCCACTGATCAGCTAATACAGCCTGTCAACCATGTGTCTGCACAAAGTCAATTAACACAATGGCAGCTTGAGATCAAACTGAAGAAAGCCATGGAAAATTAAATGCAACTTCTTGCCTGCAAGAGGACTTTGGTTGTTGCAGTCACTGTTCAAAATAAATTCTTCGTAAGTACCTCATCATTTGTGATTTAAATAATCGTCAAACAAAACAATTCTCCCTTTACATTCAGGCTCGTGACTTACAAAGGGAGCCTGTACACTGTTGATGAGATTGCGGTACTTTGCCATGTTCCGGGAGGGATCCATGAAAGATTGTAAATCCTGTGGTAGAAATAATATTACAAGTAAATACTGATTATGATTATAAAAATACATCAACTGCAACAAACATGATGTAAACAATTGTCATGTAATGCAAGGGCCATCTTGGCTCCCGATGTTTGACATTTGAGTGTTTGTTAGTGTTTGCAGGAATCATATTAAGTTTATATTAGGGACCTGATGGCATCATACAAAGTTTATTTGAATACCCTATAAGAATGGAAAGTATATATTTGGATAGAAATAATACAGAAACTGTAAACTAATATGAATTTCCTTAACTGAACAGTATCATATTTTACTTTACTTCAAAGAATATCCTCTTAAAACACTATGTTGAGCAAAACGTTGTTCAGCATAAAACACAAATTCTTATTTAAAGCAAAGTTAAATGATACAACAGTAAATTCCCATTTCCAGTCAAACAGCCCTAGAATTTAAAACAAAATGCATTTACATAGGGCTGTCACAAAGATGGAAGTGCCTTCCTTCAGACCTCACCTGGAAGAGCTTGGAGTATTTGCTGGGCAGTCTTTCCCAGGTCAGTTTTAACCGAGAGATGGAGCCGTGACCCAGGCCACTCAGTATGGCAAACATGGAATTGAAGTTCTTGGAATCTTTACAGTGCACTGAGGAAACAAAGGTATGCTGTTGTAGGACCACTCAGTTCTACCGTTAAGACATGGGGCTGGGAGAAAATATTTTAGAAAGGGCCAAAAATAAACTTGGAACCCACTCAGACTTAAGCTTCAAACTTCTCTGAGAAAGCTAAAAACCAACTGTCCCAGAAAAACAGCAGGGACATAAATTCAGAAATCTTTTTTATACAACAAAATGATCATGGAAACATTGAACTTTCTCTCCTAAGAAATTCTTCAACACAATCTTAGTATCTGAGTAAACTTACAGTATTGTAGTAAATCATTTGCAAACAGCAAGACTTTGTTACTAGTAAAATCAAGCTTGAAACTTGAAATCACAAAAAGAAAATGGCTGGGAACTGTTGGGAACTTTTCATACAGTTATAGAAGTACTACAACTTCTACCACTTTTTATTAGAAAAATCATACAGGAAAAATCCAAGGTTGATCTAACACTGACAAACAATACGAGTTTTGTTATTCCCAGCAAGAAAGTTGCTCTCTCTGTGAAACCAATGAGAGAGACGTATACATACCAAGGAGCAATCTGATCAGTCTTTTAGGGAGTTAGCTTAGAACAATCCAATTGACTTTTCAAACATTCTGAGGGACATAAGTATTTCAACCCAACACTTTGTGTTATATATGCTCGTAGGTTGATCTTTTGTTCGATTATAGAATTTGTCTAGCATAAACGCTTTTTTTCCTGCTCTAAACATGAAAGGAGAAGTCAGTAACCAACAGGATGCCAAGGGTTTATAGCTTTGTTGTTACTGTTTTAACCGAAGCCTTTTTTCAGTGCATGATATCAAAGACCTTGCAGTGACCTGGGTTTGTTAACATAAAGTTTCAAATGGAATGAAGTCTTATTCTACGGAAACCAATTTACTTGAGTTACAGAAAAAAGCATCGACATGATGACAGCCATAATTCTAATTCTGTTATAGCAAGAAGAAGAAAAGAGAGGTGAAAGCAACAGAGGGATGGACAAATAAAAAAGTAGGACCTACCACTAGCATTCTCTAATCACCAGCTGAAAAAATTAAAGGACAAGCAGAAACTGATCCAGAAATATGTGTTAACAACTCACTGGCTATCTTGATGAAATGCTTGAGCAACTTGGTGCGTTTGACTAGATTTGCTTCGCTGCAGATCTCTGTGACCACCCAGAACATCTCCTTGTTGACCAGCTGCAGTACAGAAGGAAATACAACAAAAATCTTTGTTTTAGTAAGCATTTTACAACACTTGCAACACAATAAGTGCTGAAGATTAGAGGTGTACCAAGAGAGTAACAAACATAAAAACAGAAGGGAGATAAAGACGACAGTTGTTTGATAGGAAAGAAAGAGCAAACCACACCACAGCACCCTCCAACCACCCACACAATAAACATCTGGTAACCTTTCATTTGTTTGTTTACATCAAAGAGTGAAAGAGTGAGTCAGTACAATGCTCATTTAGTTCTAGGAAAAAGAATACAACACACAAAACCAACAGGGAAATAGTGGAACTAGTAAGTATTGTCTTACACCCCATCCCAGTCAACACAACGTCCTATGAACATGAACCTTCACAATACAGTAATTACTTGACAACAGGTTTCTGGATCAATAACAACAATGAAAACAGGTTCATGTCCTCATCAAGTGCCAGATCTGAAGCAGACTTCACCAATCATGGTTTGATACTCTTTTCTCTGCATGATATGCTGCTCCAATTTACGTATTTACAGAGTCATATGTTATTATGTGCAGATGTATGGGCCAAAGGTCTCTACAAATCAATAAAATCATCTTGAAATCTTGATACATATTTCTCTGCTTGAAAAAAAAAAATCTATAATTACCACAGTCTTCCCCTGCCACCCATCTGTTCGAGTTGTCCAAGTAATTTGTTCTTGGTCTACCTCTGCCTTTTTTGCCCTTTCACGTACCTCCGCAAATTTGTGCAGCTGTGCACAACCAAACTTGGACTGCAGGTTGTAGAGGTCGTCCACATACTCTGTGGGCTCGATCTCGCGGAAGACACGGTAGTCGTTGAGCGTTAGTTGCCAGGCCACCTCATGGGCCGTTAGCTGCAGTAGGCTGATCTGGCTCTCCATCAACAGCTGGCCAATCAGCTCGTCTGGGATCAGCGGCTCCGAGCTCCGATTGTTCTTCAGGTAGTACCTAAGCACACGAGGGAGCGCCCGACTAATAGTGTGTTTGTGTGCATGCGCGTGTGTGTGTGTATGAGTCACCGAATGGGAGGTATGCGTTTGTGTGCAGAAGGGTGTGTAGAACATCATTTTGATGACATATCGAATGGAAAGTGTTTAAGTAGAATGATCCCGCCACATGGTGAGATGATGAGAAAAGTAGTACAAGATACATTGTTGACATAACATGTGCAGGAACACCAAGAAGAGACAAAAAGGTAAACATATTGTTTTTGCATTCCAAATACAATAACAGGACCACAAAGTTGAAATTGAGAAAAGGAAAAATGATGAAGATATGAAAGTATGGAAAAAAGTGGATGAAATATAATTTCATGAAGATGACATTATTCATAACAATGACGGCAACAATACCCATGACATATACAGAAGGTACAGGTATAGAAACCAGCCATGGTGGAAATAAAAGAGGGAAAACCACCCAGCAGAATGAAAGATACCGTGATCAAAACCAGTTGAAAGATATTGTGACCGCAAAGAATCCAACATAGGAACACAGCCAGAAGATGGAAAAGATTATTGTTGCCACATTTAGGTATATAGAAACAAAAAAAACACAAAGAGTATATAAAAAAACAAACAAAGAATAAAAATTATTTAAAACGAAAATAAAAACAGCACATACATGAAGTATTGAATGTAGTTCCCAACAGCAATAAAGAACCGAGAAAAAAAGTGTGAAAAGAAGAAACAAGAATAACCAAAACAAAACAAAAAACGAAAAATGAGTGAAAATCAATAGGAGAAATTTGGCGGTTTGCGAATGAATTGTGGTTTGAGCAAGGGCGCAAAACGGGGGAAGGGGTTCAAATAAAAAAAAGGGATTGGGGGATGGGAGAGAGAGAGAGAAAGAAAACAAAAGACCAACATTATAAGCCCCAAGTGAAGAATCATACAAAATTCTAAAAGGTAATGGGTAAAATTACTGTTCTTATAAATTTCCAAATGTATTTTTTTAAAAGTGTCTTTGGCATGGATTATGATGATGAATTGGGGGAAACGAGAAGGTCAAGAGGGGAGTTGGGTTGAGTTATTTGCACACCATACATATATGTAAATATATAGATACAGTGGTATGAGGAGCAACAAAGGACTAATATTGCCATAAGATTTTTCAAAGGCTCAAATTCAACAAATCTGGGGCCCTGGATTTCATAAGGAAAGGGATCTAGATTGCAAATAGTGACATTTTTAGCTGTATTTACAATATTGAAAAGGGGGTTGGTCGGTGAAGGGCATTTTCTGTTCAGCCTTTAAATGTAGGCCTACTAGAAAATACCAGAAATATAAAGGGAAAAATAGCAATTCTAAAAAATCCTGTCACTTTCTCCAATTCCTTTCAGAGTGAAGTCTTGAATTTGAAAATATTACTTTATTTCAAAACACTGATGTTGAGCATAACGTTAAAATGGACTTGGCTCTTTTCTTTTAGATTTTAAAATTCAAACCTTCGCAGCACTGCTTACAATAATGAATATCTGCCTGTTATAACATGTAGGCCATTTTCTTTAAACTGCTATATTTCAGCTTGCTACTTATAAAAAGTTTTAACTAAGGAAAAAAATCAGCTTTACAAAGCACAACATGACTAGCAATGATACCTATCTTTGGGCCCCAGACCTGCATGTGATTTAGTACTAACCAAACCAAACTCGGCAGAAATGCAAAAACAAAGGACACTTCACTTAAAACATCACACATACTCAATACATACTAATGCATTTGAATCAGTATTTTTCTCACAAGGAACTTAAAGAAAAATAAAACATTAAAAAACAAAATTAGAAGTACACAATAAAGAAAAAAAAAGTATTAAAAAAAAAAGAATAAATAAATTATCAACATTTCTTATTTCCTTCAATTAATTGTTAGAAAAGGTTGAAAATCATAACAAGCAAAGTTCTCCTTCAGTTCCATCAACATCCAGTTTGTTGATGAACAACCACATTAATCAATAAACAGTTTATCTGGAACAGGCAACCGGAAAAATCCCTTCTGTTAGTGAAGGATTAAGTATACAGAAAAGTTGCAAAGGAAAACATATCATGTGGAGAAAGCAGGTTAGTATTAATTTTAAAAATTTGAATGTTCATGCAGAGCATGTGTCAAAGGGTACAAGACGGTGTGTGGACGGCGGCCAGTACACTTCATGGTGAGCATCTCGGAATGATAGACGATATGCCTTGCATCCTGTGAAAATGAAGCTTTGTTCACAGAGACTGAAACTAAAAACTCTACTGAGAAGTAGACATTTTCTCATTTTAAATTTTGGCTTAACATTTACTGAATTATATGTTTTTTTAAAAAGAATTTATTCCCTGACAAATTTCCTTTTGCAGTAAGGGGAGCCAACATGATATTGAAATGTATCACTTTTTCCTATTCATCATCTGTGAGTAAAAATCACTTCCTATATCCTGTAAAATTGATATCAGTATTGAAACTAGAAACTTGACAAAGCAGGAGTATTAAAGATTCATTTTCAGTGAACTAAGCCTCACTTTGATGGGTCCCAGCACAAACAGAAATAGGCATGACCAGGTGGTAAGTGTCTACAAAGCACAGCACAGCAGTCTCCATCATCATTGCCATGCAGCCTTGTGTCGGGAGAGATGTCTCTAGAGATGTGAGCTGTCACGGATACATTGCGCTGAAGCGTATATGACCATACCACGCAACTACACAATGCATTATTATGTATATTCATGCTCGATAAATCTGTGCCCACACGGGGAAGACTCACAGCTTGAAGAGACAGAGCCAACTTGACAATCTAACAGGATTTAGTTCCCAATAAATTGTTTATTCCATTTTGCTACCAGGGTATGCTGGATGACTGTAACACAAGTCTCCAAGGATAGTAACTCAGTATGTCTGGCATGATATTACAATCATGATAACATCCCTTGTCATCACCCACTGTGTGACGGTCATGGATGATGACTGCCACAAAGGGAGCAAGTTTTTAGTTTTAGTAAGTTTTACGGCACTTGTAACACATTAAGGTCATATAAGTGCTGAAGATTAGAGGTGTAACAAACACAAAAAAGGAGGGGAGATAAAGATGATAGATGTTCGATAGGAAAGAAGAAGCAAACCACACCAGAGCACCCGCCAACCACCCGCGGAGCAAGTTTACAGATCACTTTCAAGCAGTGAAGACGGAGGCATAAGGCCAATGTTCATTTCTTTCAGTGAAAGCAAATCATTTGATACCAATATATACTTCTAACATTTCTCAACATTTTTTCTCTAAAACCACTCCAGAACAAGTACTAGAGTCTGAACATTTTGCAACACATTAAGACATTTAACAGCAACTGTCCAACACACATACACACGTCAGCACAACATGAGGAAAGGCATCATCGAGATAACAGTAGAACAGTCAAACAGCAAAGCCTAAAGCCATGGCACGTCATGCATGGTACTACATCAAAACAAAAGCAGTCATGAGGTACACTTAACAAACTGAGAAAAGGAGTCTTGGAAGTGTAAGACACAAAAATCAACAAACTGTACAAAATGATTCTAATTTATTGCAATAAACCACTTCAACTGAGTCAAAGAGTATCAGAGAAGCCTAGCAACTGTTGCATTCCTACTACTGACAACGCCAACACTGCATTAAACAAACAAAACAAAACAATAAGTTGACCAAATTCGGAAAAATGGCTCTGCGGCATGAGGAAGAGCTGTTTTGTGAGAGAACAAAAAGGAGAAAAAGAAGACAACAGGAATTGCCCAGGCCCCTTTGGCTACACTAATGATAAGAGAGGTGATTTATGCTCCACGTAAACTACCCTAGGCGAACAGAAAAGTATTGGCCTGCCGATGTGGTACATTAGCTTACAAGATTTGATATGATCTGCGAAAGTTCCACAGGAAAATCCAAGTGGAGCACTGAGTAGTTTGTTTCATCCTTCCTGACACATTTCCTTCTATCGTGATATCCTGACGGAGATTTTGTGCCCAACTTTTGAGTCTGTTTGTTTGTTTGTTTGAGTAAGGAAAAGCACATCATCACAATAACCGCCATTTAGTGGAGGGAAAGAATGAGACAGACAGACAGGCAGAATCAAAACAGGGAAAGAAATGAAGCGGGACCTACCAGTGGCGCCCTCCAACCACCTAGATTGTGTCTATCAAGAGTGTATAACTTTATCATGCACAACAACCACCTCCTGTTAAACCTTTCCAAAGCGCTTTCACTGATCTTACAGTCATGAGAGGGACACAGACATAGACGAGAGTTGTGTTATTTGGCAAAACCACGGCCCCATTGTAACCATGCAGAGAACGCAGGCAAGGGTGAGTAGAGCATCAAAAAACAAAAACCAAAACAGAATTAATAACAGGAAAGAAGGAAATAACACCATATCTGCAGCCCCAACAGGAATTTAGAAACAAGAACAAAAAAACATCACAAAACAAAGGCGTTGATCAACACCAGGCGGAGGTAACAGGAACAGCAGCTAAGAGCATTAATGGACAGAGTGCAGGAGGAGGTTATGGTACCATACGACTGTATGTGATGGGTCACGTTCTACAGGGTGACTATGATCGCATCGAAATGGGGGGGGGGGTGTGTGAGTGTAAATCACAGTAGATTGTTATACAAAGCCACTGGCTATTAGGTACACAATGCTGCTGACTGCCACACACACTTCTGGTGTGTCAACTTTACAGCTCATTCCATGTCCAGGGGACAATATAACAAACTATTTCAAAGCTCCGGATGAGATGAGATGATGATGCCAAAGACCCTCATTAACTTTTTGGAGTTTTAAAATAATAAATCTGATAGCACTTATCAACTTTTTTTTTAAAGAAAAAAAAAACTTTAAAAAAGATAGCAAGTGAGCTGCACCCTGAGCACAAGCTCTCCCTTCATTTTCTCTTTCAATAAAGCGCACAATCTCTCACTATGGGGCTTGCAATGTATCGGGAGGACAGACCAGTCATTCCCGGACACCAGGTACACGAGTGAACCCTCTGAAAAGACTCATTCAACAAGAAATGATAGAAATGAGCAACCAGGTGAAAGTACAACACACATTAGGGGATCACAATAAATAAGACACAACAGACAGAGGACTGCCGATATGCCCCGCACCCCTACCCTCCCTTCACATTTTTTACAGCGGCAGGAAGAATTCTACATTTTTTATAGCGGCAGGAAGAATTCTTTAGACTATAATCTACAATCTTTTAAATCACAATTGACATGTAGCATCATAAGTAAAAGAAGAAACTAATTTTTTCAATTAGTGATTGTCTTCCAGAAAAATTAACTTCAGTCATCTTTTTATAATTAGGAAAAATGCTATCCTATCCCTAAAGATAGTCATATTCCAGAGAATAAATTGCTCTAAAAAATAAATATCTGAGATAATACAACGTGTCTCCGCAATTCTATACTCAAAAACCTTCGTAGAGAAAAATTTTCTACTTAGACATTAAAAGAAAACCCAACTATCGGGAAGGTAGCATCATTCCTACATAAAAACAGAAAATTGTTCCTATGTGTAAATGACTAGTAGTTTTGGACACGTACCTTTTCAAAGGACAGATTAGTATATATCAAAAGTAATTATAATATTTGACTTGCAGTGTTTAGTAGTGAAACATCTCATTTATATGTGTACACTTCAAGACTACACTATGGGAACAGCAGTGTCAAGCAAACAGCTATAACTGTTATAATCCATGTGCTCACCTCTTATTAAATGTGATAATACGACTTATTAGACACCAAACTGTGCACATAGCATCTATTAACCCTTGTGAAGTCGAATATAGCCAGCAAAGATAAGTTCTCAATGTCAGCAAGGTCAAATCCCTCTCCCTTACACATGTAGATACAATATCTTTACACAATGTATTAAATAAAAGAAGCAGTACATTTGCCTACCAACAGATATAACGCAATAGAGCAAAGCTCAAGTGAACATCATACAAATGACACAAATAAAATCCCTCATTTATCTTAGACATGGCATCAGTCTCTGTGATAAGAAACTGACGTCAAAACTGTGCTGGGTCTGAACATAGAAAAGGTACCTATGACTCTACGAAATAGCATACAAGTCCTCATTGGGCAGGCTGATGTCAATAAAAGTATATCAGTAGAGTATAGACTGTGAAGCGTGTAGAGCTTGCTGTTGAGCGGGGATTTGCGCTATATAAATGCTATCTTATTATTATTATATCATCAAACCGCTTAAACATCAGCAATATACATTTGAGAATTTGTAAGAGAAAAGTCATTCGTCCCCCCCCCCGAACATAATCTAAAATTAAGACTATTTTGGAGCGGGCTGTTTCAACCCTGTTGTCGGGGCCAACAACCCTGCCTGACTAGAAAAAGGATGGAAACACTTGATAAAATATCTTCCCCATATCGGAAACCAACTTCAACTCAACTTCTGAGAGAAAGTGTAAAAGTCAAACCAATGCGACCCAGAGGTGGAAACTTCATTTGTGTAATGAGTTTAACTTGATGCATCAATCTGAGCTTCACTCTTTTCCCTTATCAGGACATCTTTAGAGTCACAGTTTCTGTAAGATGTGAGTTTGTGCCACTAGTGAGTACAACACAACAGGGAGCTGGCAGGGGGTGGGGGAGAGAGTCACAACACCCTTACAGATGAAAAAACACCACAGAGGTCAAGGAGGGGTTGGGGGGGGTCAAGAGGTCAAAAAGTCAATAAAGAGGACCACCAGAAAGACAGAATAAATTGACACGATACACACTTGGGTAAAAGAAAAAAGCCTGGGACGGGAAAGAGGGGAGGGGCAAAGACAGGAAAGGCTCTGGAAATGAGAGAAAGAGAGAGAGGAGAGATAGAGAGAAAGAAACAATAAACGAAATACAACATAGGGGAGCAGTGGGAAAGTGAAATAACGTGACAGTGTAAAAAACTACATCATACATGTGGCAGATGAAAAATCCAAGAAAGCTACAAACAATATAAGTGGAGATGATAAAGAAAAAACAAACAAAAAAAACATGGAATCTACATCATGTATTCTACATTTTCAGTGTGTGTGATTTTTCTACCAAGCCAATGTAGAAATGTGAAAAAAATTTTCAAAAACAGAAAGGTGAACATTAAGAAAAATCTTTTTTAGAAGAACTGACAAAAAAATTCTTACCGCCCATTGAGATTCAACCTCTCTGGCAAATTGTTTAAGGAGTCAGGAAGACGTTTGCTCTTGATGAATTTCTCCATCTCCACTGTTACTTCTCGCAAAGAAAACTCACTGAAACGGAAAAAGAAACATTACAAACAATAAATGATTAATTCTTGCAATGATCTTACTCAAAATATTACTTTTTAACTCTTTAGCGTTCACATTAATTAAAAGACATTTCATTTAATAAATCTAAATCATATTTATAATTATAATCAGAGGGTACCTTTTGTAACATGTTCGGGACAAATTGTTTCTGTGGCAAATGTGGACACCTGTAGACAGCATACAAGCTTTCGAGTGTGAAAGTTACATCCCTTACTGTTGCTTCAATCCAAGTGAATTGGGAGGAAAGCTTCCACATCAAAGTCCGTCTCTAATAGGACAAAGCATGAATCTCTGGAAACTCCCAACAACCAAGGTTTATGAATAGACTGCGACATAGATCCACCGAACTAGGGCACACAGTCACATCAAGTGAGCAGAAAACACACTCACACAGCACAAATCTCCAAACAGAAGTAGCAAAAACTTGAGTTTACTTTACAATTATCCAGAGCTAATAACATTGTCAAAATGTCAAGACAGAATGCGTCACAATGCATATATATATGAAAAATCATTCTTAGTTATCAGCCTAATAAAAACAAAACATGGATAAAAAAAGAATTAATCCACAGCAAAGATAACACTGTTCAAACACTAATCCTTTTAATACTTAAAACAAATTAGAAGAACGTTGATCTGTATTAATAAAAGACATCAGTCTATAAAAAGAGTACAAAAGAGTGGGTTTTGTATGTGGTATTTAATTATAACCCCCCCCCCAAAAAAAATAATTTTTTAATTTTTTTTAAAGCCGTTCACAACCTACTTTCTACTTTCACAACATCTGTAAACTCACCAGCTGGGTTCTGTAATTCCAAATTCCTGTAAAGCTAGCATGACCACCTCCTTTGCTGTGGTTTCCTGTCACAAACGAGAGAAGAAATGTATACTTCTTTTACAATAAGATTTGTACTGGTACTGAGCTAAAAGAGTAATTATAATTTGCAACAAACCAAACTATCCTCTTCCAACAAACCGACTGGAAAAAAAATATATGTCTATTTAGCTTTTAACCAAGGTCTATTATAACACATAAGAATAATATGTGTATGCATGTCTGCATGTGAGTATGGCAGGGAGTGGTGTGGAGTGGTGGGGCAACATCCTAAAAGTAGCTGCAATTGAGGTAAAAAGATGAAAAATCCAGAACTTGATGAAAAATAAAGTAATTTTCAGACAAGGTGTCAGAGGAAACTTGAGTTTTAGTCAAGTGATGAAAGAGAGATAAAATATTATGAGGCGCTTTCATATTTACCCAAACCTGTTGACAAACAACGGGTTTTAACAGCAAAATTTTGCTTCCTATAAACAATATTAGACAAAAGGTTTAAAACCAGGATACAAGGCTAACAAGCTATGACAAATTTTGAACCGTAGTTAACTTTGAGGGTATCAACATTTGGGGCTAATAAGCTTTAAAACCTCCAGATCAAAGACACTTTCCGGTGTATTTAAGTATCTGTAAGGTATTCATTTAACTTATCCCCCCCCCCCAATTTCAGAAGTACTGAACGAGCAGTTCACACATTTTAAACATTCTTAGTGAGTCAGGCAGAGACTATAATTACAGCACATGATAACTTTACAGCATGTGTACATCAGTAAGAAAATATATTTGCGAGAAAAACCCTGAATTACCGATTTACACTCTCACTCTTTCTC